CCGTAGGAATAGGCCTTGTACGACTTAAGAAGTTCTCATGAAAAATTTTCAACCTCTTCGTTTAACTTCTGGATATCGTCTTTTCAAAGTGAGTATTACGGAAATCTTACAGAGCAAACTCTAGGTAAAGCGTCTGGGTGTTGCTATATCGCTCTGGCCTCTTCGAGAGTGAAATTCTCGGAGAACTGTTAAATTTCGATGAAAATTTCTATTGGCGTTGTAGAAGAAGGTTCTAAGGAGCCATGATATCATTCCAATGATTGTTCTTGAACTGATTTTAGGAGCTTGAAGCCAAACAGAAAATTATGCCAGATGATGTTGTCAGTGTAGAACTTTTAATTCATATCATTTCAGAGTATCCCAGCTACTTTCACCTTGTTATTTCAATCCAAATGCATATGTTAGGAGAAGCGCCCTAGAAATATTGAATTCATTCACTTTCTCTATTGAAGGAGTAGAAGATGAGAACAAGAAACACGCAGTCGTAAGTTTTGTTCTATTATTTCTAGTGTGTTCTAGTGTTTTAGTGCTTACGTTCAGTAGATTTATAATACTTGTTTTCAGAGTGATGATGAAAATTTGTTTTCAATCATGCTCGCTGCAGAACGCTGCGAACTTGTGGACTCCAGAGGTCGCCTATTACAATTGCACAAGCTCATGTTTGGACCTCACAGAAGGTTTATGCCGAAGGGTAGTGGTGTGGCATATGATAATGTGAGTAATTTCTTTGCTTTCAACTTCGTAAAGTGTCTTCTAGTTGGGTTTCCCATCGACGGCTTTTATTCTTTGGTTTTTATTTCCTCATTCCCATAACAAATGACTGTGTTGGTATATCATAGGATGACATTTCGATACGATCACAAGCTTTTTTGATGATCCAGCCCCTTTTTAGATCATTCTGCGAATCAGCCTTGCTCAGTTCTTCGTTCAATTTACGAAACTTTGGCCTTCAATGTATGAAATACTCGAGTCATTTGCACGTGGCATGGATATCGATGAGTTCTGGACCGTTATGGCAGAGATCCTTGATCAAGTAAATTCTGGTTCGTTCCTAACATATGCTGATGTTTCTACCTTTCTCTTATCTTGAAACTATTGCTTCTTGCACTGCGTAGTAGCATTTTCGTCCCGATTTCCTTATGTTGGAATGTAACACTGTGGGAAAATGAGAACAAGAGAGGCACAGATAAATGATCCCACAGCTTAAAAATAGAAGTTTCTTACAGAATTTCACATGACGCTTACGCTTGACCTATTGTGTTGTGGTGTGAAAGGAGTGTATGGGTTCATTCGGTTAGAGTAGGAAATGNCTGGAAAGAAGAAGAATGGTGGGATCGCTCAACCAAGCTGTAAGCGTATTTGGTGTTATGTGGTATATGTACTTTACATGAGGGCAATATTGAGCGATAAAGTAGTCATGCTCCTGCTGTGGAGCTGTATAGACAATATACAGTGGTGGGATGGAACGAAAGCAATTGGTGAGAAATTACTAAGCGCAAGGTGAATTATTCACAAGCTGCTGGAAGATAGTAGAGGAAAAGGCGGAGTGATGACCTAATTGTATCGTGTGGACCTAACAAGTCATATTGTCAGTTATTGGGTAGGTCTCCAGAACAGGCTATGTTCTTTTTTTCTTATGAAAGTTTTCTAGGATGTCGAGAACGTCGCGAAAATGAACCCACTATCCGTTTTTTGCCTTGGTGTGACAACGACGACAGATTTGACTTCCACTCAGCTCGTATCCAAGTGAGTTTGATACTTTTTTTATCATCAAAAACTGGTTGTTTGGTTCAAATTATTCCCTTTTAGATCTTGAAGTTCATGGCCAATATCTCAGACTTGGCTCAACGCCGAACAAGAATTTTATCTCCCATCCTTCTAAAGATTTATGAGTAAGGAAACTTAGATTCGTTGATGACCGAGAACTTTGTGCTTCACGAATCGTTTACAGGTCCGATTATCTCCCTCTTATTGTTGAGACCCTGAGCCCATTATCGAAGAATAGTCAGTTAGAGACTTCCGAAATACAGGTTGATGATGCTGATGCGGCCGAGGAAAGTACAGACGCCAGTAATGAGCATCGGATTCACGTAACGAAGGTATTTAAGTTCCTTTTGGTTTTTGTGAGTTAGTTTTAAACTGCGGGTGATGGAGAGGATAGTGCATGGAGAAAAGTTTCTTCAGACTCTTTGTGCTCTTCTTGATGTTTACGCTAAGTTTACCGATGCAAAATCGGTGTATTTGGAGTCGAAGATACGGAATATGTACGAGCATGTGAGTTTTCAACTGATTTTGCCTACTTGGAGCAATAATAACCAATGGAATAGACTTGAAGCCCAGGCTTGGCTCTTTGGGTTTTGCCTAATTTTGTGTTGTTATTTGCCACTAATTAAAAGCGTAAGACCATATTTGGAACGTACGACTGCATAAATATTTCTGGTTACTTCCAAACAAACTTTTTACACCTCCCCCCACTTGATAAGTTATTACTGACATTTTCTGCTTCTTTATAAGTTATTTCAGCTCCTAATGGTGGGTAACGACATGGTACAGAAGTCGGTTTTGGCGTGTATTTTTTCATACCGAGACAAGGCATTACTGCCTTATAAGTAAGGTTCAGCTAAACTGGCTGTGTATGTATAGATCTCTTCTTTCTTTTCCAGGGAGAACTTCGAACGTCTCCTCGATGAGAAAACGTTCCGAGAGCAGCTGGTTTTGTTCACTATCAATGAGGAAGAAGGAAATTCAATTATTCATTCAGATTACAGAGGGAAAGTAATGCATATATTGCTCAGGTACTTGGATTTGCTACAAAAAAATATGGAGCTTATCAGTGTATCAGAAAATCCTCTTCCCAGGTTCCTGTATGGTAAGCTATGGACTCAGACCAAACGTAACTTTGCTGAGTCGAGGCGGGCCGCTATATTCCGCTACCTTGGTGGCTGTCGACCCGAAGAGTTGCTAGAGTTTCTCAAGATATTGTTTGCTCCCATTCTTGATGTCATCGGTTTGTTGTCAAAAGAATGTTCGTTTGACTGTCGATTATCACCTATAGATCTAGGTATTGATGAGATGGACTACGAAAAGATGGATTCATTATGCGCTGAAAAGGAGGTACTGTTCAAGATGGACTTTGGCAAGATAAACAGGTATGTGTAGATTTGTTAATATTCCAGAATGTTGATGTAGTGACTGCCAAGCAGAGCGTCAAACTTAATCGTTGTTATGTCAATGTATAGTAGCTATTCATCGCGACTCGAGCGTGCATATGCTCTCAAATTTGAGTGTGGGGGCTTCAAACCCCATGTCGTGAAGTACTTCGTCGTCGCAGTAGGGCTCTCTTCTAACCCTTCCTATGGCATTGAAATTCTTTTAGGTAAAAGCCTGTTTATTACTAATGAAGAGGGAAAAGGGTTCTTTTTCAACCAAAACAGGTCAAATAAAATAGGTAGGAAACCTGAGAAAAACTTCGGGAAAATTTTCATTTTGGTTTTTCATTTCTACTTTTTTTNTTTTTTTATCGAAGTTGGTGCAGAAATGCTCTTAGTTCCGGTGCTTTATTTATATTTTTGAGCGTCCTTGTGTTATTATCGTCGTATTTTCACTTTTTAATAGACGTTGTCGCCGTCAGTAGTTAGTTCGTGGCGCTCCCCAAGCAAAGCCAATCCTAGCAAAAGGGCGGTCTTAGCATGTAGCAAGTAAGTGTACGACCACTATTTGTAGTTTTTATTTCGCGTATTATCTTCTCATCCACTAACTTAACCGAGGCGCGCAAGCGGCTGAGCTCAGTGATTCAAAGTGTTTAGCCAGTGTTCAAAACGTAGTTGGATTCGATCCACCTTATTTTTGAACTCTCGTGATTCGAATCGAGTTCATTTTAGCTTCTCAACTTTTATTCATTCTTCGACATATAAATTATTACTTTGTTATTAATTCAAACAAAATACCAGTACCCATAATATCGATATCAGTTGTAGAACTGAATTAATCGATTGCCCGTTTGATTGATAACAATGCGAGGAATTTAAATAGTCAGTGCTGTACACGTAGGTAAGAGAGCTCCTAAAAGAAGCTTCTTTGTGCTCGCAATGAGCTAGTTCGAGATCTCGAGCATTGGTTGGTGATGCCTGAATCCATTCGGACACCCAAGCCATAGCACAACCACATTGAAGTGGATTTCCCTGGAAGAATGTACAGTCAAATCACTTCTACGCTCTGAATATTTTAAAGTTCTTACCGATAAATCCAGTGCCTCTAATATGGTCCCATGGTGATTTACCCATGGCTGATCTGTGTTCTTGAATGGATTTATTGACCGAAGTTGATTGTTCGGTAGAGACAGGGAAAGGAAGTACACGTTCCCAAGAGTGGTGAGAAGTGATGTTGGGAATTCTTCTATGGAGGTGTCTCGAATGGTCAACTGAACTCGATAGCCTCTGAGCATGTGCAGTGCTGTGGCACTGATCTGAAACGACCAATCTGATTGCCAAGCGTCAAACTTGGCCTCTCAATGTTTCTAGAAAAGCAAGTTGTAGAATTTGCTGGGGAAGTTCAGATCAGTTGTCACGAGTCACCTTTGCAGTCTTCTCAATTTTTGGTCGCTGATGCGCTTTAATTGACTTATACTGAGTACATAACTCGCTTGAATTCATGAGAATTTGGGGAAACAGTCCAGTTGGATTTATTTCATTGTGCTAATGAGATTTAGTTGGTCTAACTCGTGGCATGTTTTGTCAAAAGATAGATTCACTTACATTGGTGATGTTTGGTCCAGTAATAGTCAGTTGTCTGACGTGTGTCATGTCAATGTCTCGCAGTTGGGTGTCAATGATTGGTTCCCGAAGTTCTATGTGAAGTGATCGCAAAGGTGGCAGATGTTGAATTATATGGGTTACATTAGACGGCTGGGCACTTGGAGCGATGTTGTACATCTGAAGGTTTGGACTCGGATGCAGTTTTGCGGTTTGTGAAAATGACCCACCTCGAAATTACGAAGATTCGCCAAATTGGAAAATTCCATTGGGAACGGTAGTCGCGCTAGTGACGTCAGGTCATGCATCGATAACGTTTCGAGATGAAATGTATACATTATTTATTGCAAATTGGCTTTTTTTTTGCCACACTTATCGATAATAACGGGACAATCTCGTGGGATGACACTTGGCCACGATGTAGCTTTATATTTAGTCTAGTTTCAGAGGTTCCTTACTATTTTCTCACACATGTCCTCCCCTCCTTGATTTCTCGGAATTCTTGCAACGGATGAAGCCTGTCACTTTTACAACGGGGTAATGTTATCGGTTTCGTATGTTCCTCTCATTAAAGACGGCTCCCTTTTTCCGCAAACGTGTAGGAGTTATGAGTTCTTTAGAAAACGGGAAGGAGTAAAGCATTTTGAACCGTTACCTTTCCAAAAAACAGAAACGGTTAAGCCAGGTTTGTAATGTTGGCCTCAGAAGTGGACTAAGTTTGTTGCCTATCGTAAAGATCTACCTGATAAAGACTTTCAAGTTGCTCTCCCAGAATCTCTTTTATCGGGTTTCCGCTTATGTTGAGCATTTTGAGATTGACAAGATCATCAAAAACGTCGTGCTCGAATCGGGGAAGGTTGTTAAATGAGATGTCGAGGGAATGAAGCTGTGCTGTTCTTGCCAAGTCATAACGGCTGATATCATAGATCTTGTTCCTACAACAAAAATCCTATCAGTGCTGCTTCACGATCATCAAAGAAATCTTACATGCTGAGATTGAAGTGCCGAATCGCGTGATGGCTCATTCGTGGTATCGAAAAAAGTCCCGTGTTAGCGAGATTGATGTCATTCATTGTGCTGCTCATATCCTGAAATTTCATTCTTAAGCATCTTGTTAGGTTGGCTGGTTAACTGGAACCGTCGCCGCCACAGATATCTGATAGCGTTATTATGAATTGACCAGGTCTGAAGCTCAAAAATATGCACCACCAGGGTCCACCAACATTTAGCAGTAGCATAGTGATTCTCTCTCCCTAGAAGATTAAGGCTAATTGTAAGTCAAAAGGAATTCGACCTCCTTCTTCTCTTCATCCTCACTATCACCTTTTTAGCCGTGCCGAGCAGATCGTCCCCCAATCTGGCCACGCTTAATTGTCTAGCCTCCATTTGACAACCGACTCAGGTCCCAGCCAATCCGGAGGAAAAGGGAATCGTGGTATACCCTGTGATGTTCTAGGATGTTCCGCTCAAACCTAACTTAATTTTAACAGATATTTGTGGTTTCGACTTTATACTTCGAACTCGTATTTCATTACGAACCCTGAAGGCGGAAGGGCTCCACGTGCTGACAGGGTTATTGCTGATGTCCAGATATTTCAAAGCGGGAAGGTGTTCGAAGGCGCCTTCTTCTATAGTCTCAATACGATTACGTGATATTATCAGTTTTGTCAAATTCCTCAGCTCAAAAAACTGCGACGAGTCGAGTGTTCGAATGCGGTTCCGATCCAAATTAAGAATAGACAGACTGGCAGATGTAGATCGTAAAGCGTCGGTTGGTACACTTGGTAGTTCATTTCCAGCAACGTCTAACGATAGAATGTTGTTCTTTCCAAAACATCCAGGTTGCAAGTGTAGCACTGCGTTGTGGCTGATGTCCAAATGATGTAGAAGCTCCTGAATTAATAGAAGTTTTAGAAATTTCAATTTTTCTTACTGATGTAGTTGAACTAACGAGGTCTCAATTTTTTCCCATTTCTTATGGCTGTAGGTAGAGTATATATTCGATTGGGTGTTTTCTATGGTCTCTGCAGTGACTCTCACTGTAGTTGGGTTTTTGTATGGTGATTTCCCTATGTCAAACGCTGTTCAAAGGTATTCCTGATTTCATGGGCAAGTTCCAGCTCTAATTTCTGATCAGGGATGGGCTGCTTAGTTGTCGTTTTAGAGAATTTTGTGAGTTTTTCGCTTCTTCTAGATTGTTATACAGGCTTTATTATGAAAGCAACATCATTTTCCGGCAATGTGCTAGAGAGGTCAGGGATTTGGGCTTCCATTACAATGATAAACTCGACTTCTCGTCTCATTGTAGCCATATCCAGCGAATTGCTCTTTACCGCACGTACCAGATCTTTAAGGCGCTCACCACAAAG